GACTCTTTGTCGTTATAAACGATGTCTGCTTTCAATGTTTATTGCCGATGGCTATACCTGAAAGTTTTTTCATTCGTCGAAGTAGATTTCGATCTATAGCGAAAAATATATTCTGCCGTAACTTCCTAGGCAATTGTTAGTATTGCATCGGCAACATTTATCTATGTAAAAATCAATGACATCAGTAGAATAATTATTATCGAGGATCGATTATTTTTCCTTAATGCGGCAATTCATTGACATTGGAATAGCAAAATATACCTCTTCACAATACTTGTCTTCTTATTTTTCCTCACTTACCATTATTTAATCGCTGACTCAGAAAGTACAAACTGACAAGTTAATTTTTTATTTCTTGTTTTTCTAAACTCTACTTCACGTGATACTAAAGTACATTTGTGAATTCCTTATTTATCATGCAAATACAGAAAGTTCATACATGAGTTATCTGAATTTTTATTGAATTGTTAATACGGTGGACTATCAGTAATTCGAGTAGCGTTCATTTGGAAATCCCGCTTAATTCGTAGGAAAATTTCAAATTGCTAGCAGTGGTAAGAGCGCGCGTGAATGACATATATCAATAATTTTTTTTTTTTTTTGAAACTATACAATAGAGGCATATTAATCCAATTGGTAAGTTGATATTACTTATTGATAGTTAAAACGTATAAATAAAAGTACTCAGATGATTTTCTATCAATTCAATTTATTGACTATAAAATAGCAACAGTTTCAACCGTTTTGAGATACATATCTCCGGCCCTATTCAGGCGAAGAGCTGGCAACGTAACTAGAGTCAAACAAGAGTCACGTCTAACTCCGGTTACGTTGCCGGCTCTTCATCTGAAGAGGGCTAGAGATATATATCTCAGAACGGCTGAAACTGTTGCTATTTTATAGCCAATAAATTGGATTGATAGAAAAAGTCATCCTAATATTTTTATTTTCATATTAATTTATCAAACGATTTTTAAATTAATATGACTCTTAAAGTATTCAAGTTAAAATTAAAATAATATACTGCGCTAAGAAAAATTCGACGGCTAAAAAAAGTATTTTTACTGTTATTTCATCAAAAACAATTATTAGAAATAAAAAAAATGATATTTGAGACGCTATTTAAGAAAAAACAACCGAAGTAGAAGGAATGACAAATAAATTTACGTTTACTTTTAGATAAGTTACGCGATATCAGTAAAAAAATTTTTCTGCTATCTATAAAATGTATCTACACAAAAATACACTATGGTAAAAATATAATATTATGCAGTCAAAAAATTGATTACTTTACTAAATAATTGAAACTCAAATAATAATATATATCTTGTATGTACGTTGATTATTAAATATTGACTCTTGTATCGTATATTAATATTAATATAATTAAATGGAGAATGTTGACAAGTAGAATCTATATTTAATAGCCTTATTCGGAAATCTTAATATTTCGAATATTCGTTCGGTCTTTTGCAATTTTAACTAGTAAGATTCTGCAGTCTACCTATCAAAATATTTTGATAAAATGAGCGGCTCAAAAAGCAGTTTTAATATATAAATAATAGCAGATAATTCAATAAAATATCATTAAGTTTCTTGATTAAAGGAACGTGTTATTCTATTCACGCCTGTACAGCATCTATTGAATACTTATGTGCCCACACGTTTGATCTATGTCTAAGTATTCAAAGATAAAAAAATTTCCATAAAAGTATCTCTTAATTGCAATAGTTACTTCTTAGAAAATTCTTTAGTTCAAATATAAAAGTTAAATTTCTTTGTAAGTTATACTAACTTTGCCTATAAAAGAATCATTTTCAAAAGAAGACACGATAAAAGACATTGAAAATAAAAAAAAGCTATAGTACTATAAAAAAATCAGTACACATAGAAAAGATGCAAGAAAATAAAATTATAACTCATCCTCAAATACGTGCAAATAAAAAAATATGTTCAAACTATACATTATAACTAACACTTTTATACATAACAAGCCGCGAGAAAAAGCTTTCCGTGATAAAGAAGTAAACACTTGTGTATTTGGCTACAAGATATATAAAATATTATCATATATCAGTTTAGTTGTCTTGTCGCATGCACCATGTGACCTAAGCGTGATTCATTCGGGAGCTTAATTGATGAGCAACAATAACACACGGACACACAGTCATCAATTGATTCCATTTACTCGAGCAGCTTCCACTTGTCACAATTGCTTCGTGTTGATTTCTTTAATGAATTTGTGGCCAGAGTCTATACGTCTTGAGATTGGTTTATTTTTCACTGTATTATTATAAATCACCATGGCGTGATTATGTAATTGTGAGTTTTTGACCGACAAAGAAAACTTGTTACGAGAATCGGTACTTTCAACCACTTAAAATAGAACTTTTTTCAATCATTGGCATTTGTACATTTTATCCTGATTTTTTTCATTATTATAAAGGAGAAAGTTTGAAAATTTGAAATTCTGCGATATTACAGTTTGCATAATTATTGCGATGAATAACGGTAGAGTAAATGAGAATTATTTTCACTTAGAAGGAATTTTTCAACCTCTATTTATATGCTATTAGAAACAAATAGCAATTGCTCAATCTCAAACGTAAATTGATAGTACACAAAAATTTATCTTTACTGACTGGCACCACATAAATTTCATAAGATCGACAATGATATTTTGTTATCAATACTTTTTTTAATACAATTTTACCATATTTTCGTTACTGAAAATTTATTTACCACCTGGAAACTAAAAAATTTGAATAATTAATAATTTTTAAAATTATTCTGCAAAAATATTGATAGCCATTCAAACAAATAATACAACTCTCCAATAGTATCTGAATAATTTGTTGGCCCCGAAATATAATCTCGAAAATCAACACCACTTATAAATATCTCCTATTCTTCCTGAAACATTCGAAGTAAAATTGAACAGGCGAATAACGCCAGCTAATTCAGTTTGACACGCTGCATATCGAAACATCTGCAATGTGAATTCCAGTGAACTATTTTTGGTGCATAAAGAAAATCGCGCACGTACATGTGGGCGATAACATCTATCGAATATATGTATAATCTGGACGAGCGAAGTAAAACTTTCTTTCTCTCACGGAAGGTGTTTCTCTTCTTTTTTCGCTATGTGGGCGTTAAAATTGGTCTTGCGTGTCTCTAAGCGCGAACGATCGTCCATTGCATGCACGTGTGATTTTCTTTCGGATGCCAATTGGCTTTTCTATTGTTTCCGAGGATTTCCTTATTTTCAGAAACGTTTAGTCGGCACACTATTCGGTGATTGAATACTATTGGCGTTTAGAAATTTATATGGCAAATGACTTTATCGTTATTTTATTCACGATTAACAAATATAAGCACTATCAAGAATCAGACTTTCTAAACTTTGGCTTTTGGAAAATTCATCTCTGTATTAGATTGTGTTTTGTGAACATTAAATTCTCACAGAACTACTGAAATATTTGTAAGCTCGATAAAAATAATACCCAGTAGATTTTCTAACAAGAAAGTTCAATTATACCAAATAGAGAAAAACGTGTTTTTTTCTCTTATTACAGCAACGTCATTTTTCTTTTCCATATAATACATTCACTTTAATAGAGAAATCGAAAATGAAAGAAAACTATCTACCTACAAAATTCGAACTTCGAGGACGCATTGGCTGTAATTCCTCATTCCTTCCTCTAGTCATTTGTAGCGCCAGAAAATGGGGGAAAAGACTTCAATTAATAACAATCGTAAGAAGGCCAAGAGAACGAGCAAGAGACAATTAGTATATGCCTGATAATTAGTATAGGCTAAGAGAGAGAGAGGGAGAGAAATGTCGAATTCAACATAGCTAAGATCCAATCAGGAGCAGTAACGAGTCGAGGCAAAAAAGAATTAGCAATTATACAGCTTCAATTTTTAGTCTCGCAAAGTAGTTCAATGTTAGATTAAATATACGAGTTTCGATATTTTCTTTTTTGCAATGACAATTCACTGGAAGTAATTTCCAATAATTTCAAATACGAGATTATAGTGAAAATATTTTAGGGTTACTTGCCTTTTCCACGTAGTAATGATTAGTTAAACAGCTAAAATTAAAGTTTTTATTCAGTTTTTAACTAATTCAATTTGTTTTCGCTTTTTTGCACGGTTATTACTTTTACAGATACACATTCTTGCTGGAATAATATTGTTGAAAAAGAGATAAAAAAAGATAAAGCGATGCCTAATTGTGGAACTTTTGGAGCACACTCACGCGCACACACACACAGACATACACACATCTATGTAATTTCGATTTGCAGCAAGATTTATTGAAAATCATTAAAAATTATCAAAACTAACAATTATTATATAAATTAATTTTCAAGTGTAGCAAATTAATTTTGTTGATTAGTTTAAAGGTGTAATTCTATAAAAAATATATACAAGGCCCAAATAGATAAATTTTCATTATATTATGATTACATTTTCAACAAACGTTTTACTAATATATAATGTTAATTAATATTAACTTTTACATTTCATTCGTTTCCTCTCATAATTTGATGTCAATTGATTGCCATTAAAAATTTTAATTTGATGAAAATTATCTTTTGCAACATTTATTTTCTTACTGTTCAATTTACTCTTTAATTTTGATTTTTTCAACAAATGAATTGTTTGTATATTTACATAAAAGCCTACCACGCATGTTAATGTAATTTAAATCCAATTAAATTCTTTATAGAATAGATAACTTCTCAACCGCCGGTCGATAATGAACCAACCGATTTCACAGACTAAAAACAAACATGAAAAACATATAGTATCACTTGGCTCCGAATTTTGATTTAAATAAACTTAACCTTTCTATCTGTTATCTCTCTCTCTCTCGCTCTCCCCCTCTCTCGCTTGCTCTTTCTTTCTCACACTACTCTCTTATGCGTCGTGTGCGACTCTTTAGTTAGTTTGGGTGGACTTTTTAAATATCCGGCCAGTGATGTGTCGCCGGTTTGACAAGTCAGACACGCGATCGCGAGTTACTTATTTTAAGTGGACTTCAACTGCAAAACGAGCGAACGAGAGAGAGATAGCGCTAGAACAAAAGCTGGATGAAAGCAACAAAAGAGAACATACAACAAACACTTACTAGCTTCGATTTTATTTGATTACTTCACAGAAGTTTCGAGAGTTCAAGTAAGTAGTTACTGATGTAAGGAACTAAATTCTTTCGTTATATTAGTGTTTGATAAAACTTTTCAAACAATGTTTTTTTATATCCCCCCTTCCCCATAAAACATTCAAATTGATCACATATAATACTGTATTTTTAGATGAAGGGTGTAGTTTTATTGAGGTTATAATTATTCCTATTTTGATTAAATGAGAATTGAGCATTTTACATTCCTCTTATTAATTAATAAAATAAATAATCTCAACAGCAATCGTAAAATTTTGACCAACTTCATTTTATGCGAAGTGCGAATCATTTATGAACAAAATAAATTCAATTCAAATTCATGAGTCATTGTAACTGTATAGTAAAGTAAATGATTTTAGCTTGTTTGTCCACATATCGATATATACCGTTACTAAAATTTGCCAACGAAAAAATTGAAAACGTAGCTTTTTGATCAAATTTGCCAATGAACGTGTTTATTTATGTTACGTGTGGAAAAAGAACGCACACAAATACACAAATCTTTTGTTTCGTCGCATACACGCACACAAGTATATTGTGTGTGAACAATAAACCAAATATGCTAGCAAACAATAGAGTCAACGATTTTGTCTGCTTTTGTCGCAAAATTGCACACAACGCTGCGCATTCTCAAAGAGCTCCTAACATACATTTAAGTACTCTTTTCCGACACGACTATGCACGCGAAGAAGTGCCGCTCACTTTTTGTCAATGTTTCGCGCAAGTAGAAAGAAAAATTGCGTAACGAAAACGTGGCTAGGAATAAAAATCTATTGGAAAACACGTCTGTTTAACGAGCTCTAACTCGATAATATTAAGCGCGTTTTTATATCAAAGAAGATAACTGCGGGTATCAATCATACTGAAGAATATATCATCAATCTTATACTTTGGCTTCATTCTATTTTTACAACGTTGAAGCTCGTAAAAGTTTCGCTACATATATAGCTGAACAATCATTTCTCCTTCGTTGAGCAAAGAAAAACTTCCTAAGATGCTATCTTCTAAAATGCAAAAAAATGAACGGTCCATCGGCGCGTTCCAAATGCTCAACTGTGTGTTACATCCTAGACAATTATTTTTAGCGTACATACACGGAGGGAGAGTCGACTACAAAACGAAAGCTCTCTCTTTCTCTTTCGCGATTTGTTCAAGTTGACCTCCCTCGTGCGCACACCGCTCGCTAGCCAAAAGACGAGATCATTTGCCAATTGAGGCGTACACTTAATGCCGACAATCTATTTATAATTTTGCACGGAGAAGAACTTGGCCGAGAAAAGATACACCTGACACGTACGCGGACACACACACGCACACGATTAGAAATGTTGACGATGCGTGACTTTTCATTCTTTATTCGAAAAAAAAAGACTTTATTTGTTGGCTGAGACAAGCATCGTAAAAAATTATAATTCTGCTATTTTGTGCTGAATTCGTGACTGTGGTAAAATATAAGTCGGTAGATTCGATGATACGCAGTTAGAAAATATTAACGCAAAATATAGCCATTTCCTAACTCTACGTATTACCCGTAAAGAATTTTCCTTTTTATACCATGTTTATTGCTTGAAAGGCGATACATTCATTCGAATACAGCAATGAAAAATCGTACAATCGCACCGATGAGAACTTACACTTTATTTCAATTGATAACATTTCTCTTCGAGAACGCATGACTATAAAGAAGTGTACTAAGCAATTCTTTCTCTTACTACGACTTTAAGAGTGAAGATTTATGCCCTCTATATGTAATTGAAGGTACAAAAAAAGTACAGGAAAACGGATATAAATTAAGCTTTCGTAATTTTTAACAATTTTGAAAGTTTTGGAGTAGTCTTGAATAATTTGTTGTATGTTATTAGTATTTTATTTTATATTGTATTATATTACTTTACTATTGCCCGCCTAATACTTTTAAAGATTTTCAAAATTAAATTTCAGCTTTCGAGATTAAATTAATTGAAAATGGATAAAAAATATACTAAGTCTATCAAAATACTTCGACTTCTAATATTTATATCAATTCGGAAAAAACAAGTGTTTCCGCGTTGTAATTAAACTATAACTAAAACGCGTATCTTTGCCAAAAATTGCACAAACGACGCAAAAGTAAAAAAAAGAAGATACATCATGCGCAGCCAATTGTCGAAGGAACTCCAATGGCGCAACGGAAGGACTCCGCAGTGTGCAGCAGAGTACTTTCGCATGGCTGGCCAATATTTATTTCTGAGTTTGCAAAGTCAAGGTGGCGCCAGTTCGCCTTCAACATATATGTATGGTAATCCAATTATTTTAAAACCGGATCATGAAATTACACAATTACTAAAGTTCTATAAAAATGACTAGTAATGTTCTGTTCGTTTTCTGTGAAAATAATGTTTGTCGAAGAAAATCACTTAGAAAAAAAATTATAAACAAAATCATTTCCTTGTATAAGATTAACTTTTATAATCATAAACACATATTTCTTATCATTAATTAATGCGACTGTGCATTATCTGCATACTGACTGCTGTTTAACAACATATACCGTCGGCAGTCGCAAAGAAAGAAAAGAAATGAGCTTATAGAAAATGAAATGAAATTATTAAGAAATGAATGACGAAGCGAAATCTGGAAAAGAAGAATAACTCGAGCAGGATATAAAACAGAAAGTGGCTAAATTGTAGCCGAATTACCGGGCGAAATTCCTGCACATGATAACTTGCCTTGCCCAAGTAGAACTTGCTGCAGCGGATAACAATGAAAAAGTCTTTCCTTTTGCGCGTACACTGATTAAAATTACATGAGTGATGGCTGTGCCTAATTTCTGTACAAATTTACACCTTTGCACAATAATGCTCAACTACAGGACAAAACTCTAATTTACTTTTCTGGACAGATATTTAATACCGAGAGAATGGACGAGAAAACTGTTTGCTTTTAAATAATATATATATTATGGTTTCCTAGAAAACTTTAAAGAGAATATTTTACAATAGTTTACGCGAATAGAAATAAGAATTACTCCTTGTTTATTTCACATTGAATGGAGGAATATATTTATCTAATCAAAATTAAATTATATTTATGACGATCCACTGAGCCACTCTGATAACTAATGAGACGCGGTAGCTGAGTGAGTAAAAGGTCTGACCGATTCGTTCGTTAGACGGATATGTTACCCAAGAGCTATCATCAAGTTGGACATATAAAATGAAATACATAGTACCAATTCTAGCAAAATTTATCGATAAACAATGTAAGAGCAACTATAAGTGCTTTTTAACGTGAACATCCGCCCAATGAACCGTCCGAAGATTTCAAAATGTTCACTGTTATCGAGCCCACTATGCTAAACTAAACTACGACGAACATCTACTAGAAACACCCATGGACAAGGATAAGATCGGAACATCGACGCCCGCGTGTAAGAGGAAATTTCAATCTAACAGCTCTCCTGAATCGCCATTCAAATTTAACTTTAAGAAAAAAATAGCAAGAGCATTCTATCAACAATTAATACGAACGATTAAAATACCTCACGGTATATCAAAAGAGGCACACGACTTACCAACAAAATTGGTCGCTAATTCGCAGATACACGCGAATCTTTGGTCAAATAAGGCATTCACACTATCGATCTAATCTAGTTACCAGAAACAAAACTAAAATGTGTACATTCACCTAGCCAAACCAGTAGCCGAATGCGATGACTTCACAATTGCAACCATCATCTACAGTCGATCAGAATATAGGTAATAAACAGTATGATTGATAAAATAAATTATTAACAACAAAGAAAACAATAAGAACAAAACAGATTTTAATTATTATCTAATTAATAAATTAGATACCAATAAATTTTTATTGAGAGTTTACAGCAAAGGTAAATAGGGTATCAATACGTAGACCCTCGATAACTTCACATTCAAAGAAATACTAAAGTGATACAGGAAAAAAGAATATTGAAGAAGTCGCACCAAATTATCATTCAAATACAGCAATAAAAACAGCTCTTACTTCCTTGTACATATTTCTCTGTAAAGCAACATCAGGTTCATCATGAAAAATAAACCATTGATGCACTTAGTACGATGAAACTTGTAAAGAAAAACAAGAGTAATACAGTGACATAATTGCCAAAGGACTCATTACGCGGATGCAAGCTGTAATCTGCTATATCGCTGCGCCAAATGCATAACCAACCACAAGACAGAAAAATACAAACCCTCGCAATACACATGATCAAACAGACTCGCGACCCGGCTACGTAAATTGTAATTGTACTCGGCCATACAGCTTACTATAAAAGCTGCCCATACTTATTCCTCGTCCAGAAGTTATCTGTCGAGGAAAAAAAGAATTTACACTACAGACTCGCCGTACCCATCAGGAAAAACAAGTAGCATCTATATACATTAACTATATCACGCAGGTAAATTTCCACAACTGCACTCAGATAATCTCAACTAGTCCACGTAGCTACAATATGCAACACAATTCAAAAAATAACCAAGGTAAACTTTTAGTCTCCTCTAAGAATACCAAAACATCAGAACTAATCTAGCTCCATCGCATCACCAATAAACAAACTAATTACAATCAAAGACGTAACAAGCATTATAGGTAATTATTATAGAGAACTAGGAGACTAAAAATAATCAGACAGTATATATTTTTGCTTGGTTGATTTTTTTGTTCATTGAAAACGAGAGTTTTAAGGCGTAAGATTTCCAGTAGAGAAGAATTTGGCAAAATGATTAGGTGTTACAAACTTTTAAGCTAAACACAAAGAAAACACTAAATTTTTACTATAGCTTGAGTAATCGATGCGTAACTAACTCACTGTGCTATGACCGGTCGACTTATTCTCGTCTTTGCAAAGGTTCTACTATATTTGAGCCTTGACACGCGCACATCGGTCACGCTTTCTGACTTTTTCACTCATTTGCTCTCTTGCCCAGTAGTTTACAGGTTTAAGGATCAGATTTGCAGCTTCTCCTTTCCATACCTG